AGTATCTTATTACTAATTTGACTTCTTTTTAATGATAAACGACTTCTATTAATATAGAGAAAACATGAAAGACAACATCCAGCCAGCTATTACAGATTTGACTATACACCCTATAAATAGACATAGAGTCAGTCACACACACAAAGCAATCTGACTCGCTAGATACAAAATGGGCAAGATAAAGCCTAAAATGACCGAAAAAGAAACACTCACTATCAAAGCTCTTCAAAAATCAAAATATTCCACCCATACCTATTTGAACTAAAATAAAAACAATTACTACTAAAGGAAAATAGTACGAAAATAAAACTTTTCACAAATTACTTCCTGACACGGAGGTGTTCTAGAGGAGGACGAGCTGCTGCACTATGAGTGTAAATTAAATTCCTCTTGTAAATCTCTTTTTTGGTGAAGGGAGTTCCAACCACTGGAAAATTCGCACGAACTCCTACTCTCCCTGCACCATTAGCCGCATCTTCAAGCACCAACCATTCCTCTTTGTCCTCCAATCAAAATTCCTCTTGTAAATCTCTTTTTTGGTGAAGGGAGTTCCAACCACTGGAAAATTCGCACGAACTCCTACTCTCCCTGCACCATTAGCCGCATCTTCAAGCACCAACCATTCCTCTTTGTCCTCCAAGCACCAAGCATCTTCAAGCACCAACCATTCCTCTTTGTCCTCCATTAGTCAAAGCTCGTGCTACGCACGATTTCCTTAAAACGTATTTGTTGCCTCCCACAGTGCTAGGAGCGTTGCAACAATCGTTTCCCAGGATACGATGACTACGAACTAGTGTTTGAGCACACAAACAAGAGTTCCAGCGAACGAGAACCAAGTGAGAACACAGAAGGAATTTTCAGAGTAGCTGTAGGTGGTTTTAGCTCAAGAATACGTGAGGAATGTATTGTGCGTTGTGTCAAACCGTGTGTTTGTTGCAAAGCACCTGCCAGCTATTTATAGGAGGATTTGTTGTGTGTTAAATGGGGTGTTAATGGACCTGAACGTTGGACATGAATGACCAGTCCGTTGGGCATTGAATCGTCCATAAACTGTCCATTTAACGTAGCATTAAAAGAGAAGAACGTTGGGCATTAATTGTTGTAACGGAAGAAATGCGCGACAGAAGACCCCAACAGAATACCCCTTTAATGCCTTAGTCTTTGTGTCAAACCGTTTGAGCACAAACTGTCATGGTAGCAGGGAAATCAGACAACACAGAAACTTGTCTGCGAGCTCACAGCACTGCTTCGGCAATGACTTCTGCGAAAACAGAACCTACACTTAGTAGGGAAATTGTCGTAGTTTCTCAAAACATTTGACTAGCCTGATAAATCGAAAAACATGATCATCAAACGGGCTTATAGTGTCATACCCCTAGTAATTGTCTCAATTTGCAACTCTATTTCTAATGTGGACATTTGGTGCTTACCTTCTCATGTTTTATAACCAATTTGATTAAAAACCAAATCACCCCGAAAAGGAAAATGGCAGTGTGCAACATGTAGGTAGTGTATTTATCGTGGTTTCAATATTTAATTTCTCATTTCATTTTATTGAAGCACCTTTAATATAGGAATATCACTACCGTTACTTTACAAAAAACAAAAAACAAAAGTGATGTATGTTGAAAAAATTGTATTAAAGTTGCATTAAATGACCATTTTCGAGTAGTGCTTTGAATGAGGTCCACTTATGATTTGGATCGGATCAAAGTGGTTTCGAATTATACTTTTTAAGAGGTTCAATTCAGTATGTAGTACACTCAAAACAGATAACGGGTGGATGAGAAATTGATTCCCGAATTTCACTTGTTAAGATAGCGAAATCAGTTAATGGGGGTTCTAATTTCTGCTTCAAACTGCTAGAGTTTCAAACGTTGCCTAACGTTTAGAAACTGTAAAATGTGATTAAAGCATGGTTTCATTACATGGTTAATGGTTTGAAACGTTTAAGACCATTAAAACACAATAAATGTGTTTAATAGACGGTTTCACACAATAAGTGTGTGTTTAGTGTGAAATTAATACAAAGGTTCTTCCTTCCCTATATAAGCTTGACAGTAGATTTTTAGAAGCACACATGATCGACACATGATCAAGGAAAACAATGAGCACACATAATTACTCGCTGCATAATCTTCTCAAAAGAAAAACTCTGTCAAACTTCCGATAACACTTCCCCAGTTCTACCTTTTGTTCCAGTTCGTTGGAGCAACCAATTGAGTGCACAATATTGTTGATTGCCAGTCATTGTATCTTGAGAAACTAACACTGAAACGCTCCTAACATCAGGGAGACAGTGAATTAGTTTTAAGGATATTGTGCGTTGCACACGCTTTGATTGTGCATGTGCCAAATCTTTGTCGAGCCCTTTCGGCTATTTTTTTTGGAAAAACACTATTTTCCCTACAATCTTAAAACTAAATAAAAAATGAAGATTGTTTTACTGCGGTGTACAATCCTAAAACTACTTCAATGTGTTTTTCCGAAAAGGGAAAGATAGAAAAATGGCATCTCTTGATAATCAAAATGTTCTTATTGAACAAAATAAAACTCACTCTGAAAGTGGAGTTCTGGTGAACAATGGTTCACAATGCGGAACATATGCTTTGGGCAATCAAGGGGCAACCTCTATGGTTACGGTGTCAAGTAACTCTCTGAAGAAACCCGAAAAGTTCAATGTGTTGAACTTTAAGAGATGACATCAAAAGATGCTCTTCAATCTTACAACCCTCGACTAGATAAGGTTCTTCACCGAGGACATTTCGGTTCTAAACAAACAAGAGATGGATGCACCTTCTGGCAATGCGGTTCAGACATGAAAACATTAAAACTTTCTTTGCAGAAACTATGTATTGAACGAGCTGCATGATGCTCTTTATGATATCTACAGCTAAGCAAAAAATATTCGAAATTGTGGTTTAGTATTGGCTTAAATACGTTTGTAGTCCCTGCATATATGACACACTTTGTTTTAGGTCCTTGCAAAATATTTTCTTGTTTTTTATCCTTGCAATATGCACTATTTTGTTTTTAATCCAGATCTAATTCCGAAACTACTCTACTTACAAAAAAGTCACTATCAGTTACATAAATCTACTAGAAATATATGAACTTGTCCTTTTAATTTGTTTTGAAACTAATATGAGAGTTAAAGTAATTTAAAACTAAGTATTCACATTTTAAAAATATATATAGAAAACCTTCTTAAAAATAAAATTAAATACTTTTTGAATAACAAGATAAAGAGTTAGAGAAAATCTATTGATCAAGATTATTTTGAAGTCAGACAGAGGTTGTCATCATCAATGATGGACTAAAAAGAAACCCAACATAAATTACAGGGATGGAAAACAATTGTTTTTTAAAGTGATGTAAAATAAAATGTACTATATTTATAAGGACCAAAACCATATTTAAACCTTTAGGATATTATGATATTTTTCTAATGCTTCATAAACTATTATCATTATTTGATTATTACGAATAATAGTTTTAAATGTGACATATCTCTTCTTGAAATTTTATTATGTTGATTACATTGACCCCTAAGTCTGAATCGTCATGTGGTCATGTACAATGCCGCTTTAAAAACATAGAAACAAATACTTCCTCGGTCTCATACTCCCTTCGTCTCAATTTGATTTGCAAAATTTTCTTTTTTGGTTGTCCCAAAATGGTTTTCCACTTTTAGATATGTAAATAAGAATAAAGTGACAAATTTACTCTTACTTTTACTTTTTCTCCATTAACTTAAAGGTATCAACTTTTAGAAAGATGGACAAAAGTGTAAAAAGCAAGCATCATTTATTGTCATTTCTTAATACTTGTGTCGGTCAAAGTTTGCAATTCAATTACGGACAGAGAGTAATTATCTTCCATCGCAATGAGAAGCTAAGTAAGTGACGCACATTAGCACAAGATATTAGAAAAACTGCCATTGCTATAAAGAATCAATTTCAGTTGCTAGAGTTCAACCTCTTACGTACGCAGTCAACACTACAACAAAATATAACTTTTGTAGCATACGCAAAATGTTGCAATAGGTGTAAAAAATGTCGCAATATATCAAATGCGGCATTTTTAGCATGCTGCATCCGAGTGGTGTTACAATAGATGTATTGTAGCATTTTTATCATCTTGTTGTAACATTTTTTGGTACAATAATGTTACAATAGATACTATATTGTAGCAATTTATGTGATGCTACAAAATAGATGCTGCAATAAACACTTTTTGTGCTAGTGCAAGAAATAACAATTTGACTTTACATCTACTCTAGTTTTAATATAAAGTAAGTGAGAAATAAGAAAAATAAATAATGTGTAGTTGAAATTTATGCAGAGAAGAGAAGAATGCGCAGAACCACAAATTAGTTACTTTAATCGGAAAGTATCAAAAAATTTTGGGACAATAAAAAAGGAAAAGTTGACAAAGTTCAATGGAACAGAGAAAGTAATTATTTATTTCTCTATCATACTTTTTAAAAGAGCATACTCAAAAAATGAATTAAAAATTTATTTAAAGTAAGAAATGATAAACCAAAATTAGGAATTTTATCAATTCAGGACCCGAAAGATAGATGAATTATCAATTCGGGACCTGAAAGATGAAATCTATTGGTATAGGACCCGAATTATGAAAAACTATCAATCTAGGACCTAAAATTTCATAGGTTTTGATTTATTTAATTTTATATTAATTCCATTGCTAATTTTTGATAAACTTGTCTTCACAAAAGTTTATTAGTTTCATAAAACTAAATAATATTTAAAAAAATTAAGATAAAAAAATAATAAAATTTTGGACAACTTAGGTTCTAAATTGATAATTTCCAATCATTCAAGTACTACATTGATAGTTTTCCATCATTCGAGTTCTATATCGAGTTCTATAAAATTCTATGAAATTATGAGTTTAATTGAAGACAATAATATAGCGAGTACCATAGATGTAAGATGTATATACAAGTATATAACACATGCTAAATGCTGTGTAAATTAAAGCTGATTCCCAATAGGAGCCAAGGGTGCATTGGACCACTAGGCAACGAATTTCAGAGCAAAGGATAAGAAGGAAAACCACCCCAATATTCCATCGGGAATGGGAGCTCCGGCGATGCATGCCAAGTCAGAGTCGGAGGTGACGAGCGTCGACGCCTACTCGCCGCCGCGATCCCCCAGGCGTGCGCTCTACTACGTGCAAAGCCCACCCCATGACCCGGAAAAGATGTCATACGGGTCGAGCCCCTGCGGGTCGCCCACCCGTAACTACCAGTACCACTGTTCCCCCATTCACCACTCCCGAGAGTCATCCACCTCCAGATTCTCTGCCTACCTCAACAACAAGACGACGGCCAGTAGAAATGTTAACCCGCCGCCGCCTTGGAAGCGATTGGCGCCACCGACTGATCCAGACGACTGCCGGGAAGAAGAGGAGGAAGGAGACGGCCAAGCCCATTCCTCCTTCAAGTTCTACCTCCTCTGCTTTCTGTTCTGTTTCGTTCTTCTCTTCTCCATCTTTTCCCTCATTCTCTGGGCTGCCAGCACGCCTTACGCGCCTAGAATCTCCGTCAAGGTATGAACTTTTATAAAGATTTAATCTTTTCTCTTAAATACATTTCTCCATTTTTAGTTAATTATGAGTTCTTGATTTTGGTGTGAAAAGGTAAGTGTAACTCCGAGTTAGGTTTTCTTTTGACTCACTACTGCGATGGTCACGTGACTGGCAAAATCTTCTTATTTTGGACTCACATTTATTGTGTAGCTGATGATGATTCACAGTTTTAGCAGCTATCTGATCTCTATATTTCATCATTAAAAAAAAACCAAATTTCTCTCTTTTTGACGTTTGAAAATAATAATTATAACGGATACGTTGAAATATGGAGAAAAAAGGCTTGAAGTATGAAGTGGGATGGGCTTGGGTTGGTTGCCCAGTTTACGTTTCCCATGCTCTAAAAGTAAAAGTAAAACTAATGGGGAACTTTCCTTAAAAGCTGGGATACTTGGTAATAATTCACACCTCTTTTTTAACCCATGGGCTCGATAGAGATTTTGCTTTTTCTGTCAACAATTTTGGGGTCAATGAAGTAAGTGGGCTAAACATGAAAGAAAGACATTTCTGAACGTTTAGTTTAGACTTCTTGTGTAAGCTGAAGGCTAAAGGGTCAAATAAGTACATGAACTAACTTAAAGTGTTCAATTAGTCTTTTATATAGGAAATTCTGCTCGGCCGTCGCCAATTGGGGCGTTTCCCGGTAGAATTTTTTGATGAATTTTTTTGAGCATCTTCTTCATTAAGTCTAGTTTACCCATACCAAATTTCAGCTGAAAATACAACCGGGAAGGAAGTAAAATGATTTTTTGAAGATAACTGCGCAGTACATTTCGGAAAATCATTTGACTGCCTTCTCAGTTTAATTTTTAGCTGAAATTTGATATGAGTAAACTAAACTTAATGAAGAAGATGCTCAAAAAATTTCATTAAAAAAATCCATCGGGAACCACCCCAATGGATGACGGCTGGACAGAACCTCCTAAATAAGGTGCTAATTGAACACTTTAAGTTAGTTCATGTACCTATTTGACCCTTTAGCCGTAAGCTGAATCGAATTGGAATATTGGATCATAAATAATTATTGTTTAAATTATACTCCCCTGTCACCCAAAGCCAAATAAGCTCCTACATGCCTACATTCTTTTTTGAGATATCCCAAAATCAACTTCTCATTTGGATAATGTTTAATTTGAATGGTAAAATATTCTTTTACCTTTATGATCTGCATTGTGACTTGTGAGACAGAGCCACGGAGTAACTTTGTCATGTGATCAAATATTTATTTTTAAAATTTATTAAATATTTACACAAATAATTATTATTCATGAACAAACACGGATTTGCATACACTATATTCGGTTGTATAAAACTTTTGTAATTTGCATAGATTTGTATGTCTAGATGCACAAAAGTCAATCATTATAGTCATAAACTTTTGTCTATGACATACGGAGTACATTTTTCTTGTATGCGGCCGTACGTTTTATATTTTATATCTAAATCTTAACCAACAGAAAGTGAAAATTAGATGATAAAAAAGTGTTCAACTTTTCATGTACAAATATTAAAGAAAGAGTGTAGACATACACTGTATGGGACGGATCCAGGAATTCAGGAGACATGGATTGAAAAGCAATTATACTAGGCTTAAACGGGGTGGAATAAATATGAAAGTTTAAAAAAATTACACTAAAAAATTGAATTTTTTTTAAGTTGCCTTGACTTCAGCCCACCCATACGTAGATCTGGTCGATCAGGGTTGACGGGAACTGCTGTTGGAGAGTTTTTCAGGTCAAGTTTTTTATGAAAGTTTGTGAGCATGCTTTTCATTAAGTCTAGAACTTTAATTACAAATAAAAAATTCAGCTTGAAATTCAATCAAGAAATCAAATTCCAAAACATAGCGAATTTATTACCATTATATTGCACCAATGCAACATAAGACACGAGTACATAACAATATACCCAAAGAATATATTGAAAAATCTTTCGAGTCCTTACTCGTGATTCATGAAATCAATAACTATATACCTGTACGGGTAGCTCTGTTGGTTGAGTGGTGAGTAAGTTAGAAGAATGACCAAGGATCGAATCTCTAAACGGTCGTGTGGAGGTTACAGCTCCTGCATGCTAGACTGGACCTCTGGTGCGCACAAGTACTAGGTTTACCAACATTAAACCGACTGAGTCACTGTGACTAACATCCTCCCAAGTGTCTTGGGAGGTCGAAGCATGGGGGACCTTGTGATTGAGGATTCAACCTTTTGGAAGAATAAAATCAAAAAAGGATGACACCTCATCCCTGAGGGCCTTTCAACCACGACCGGACGGTACGTTGGGAGGATGTAATTGGACTATAATCTCAATCTGACAGATAGAGAGTGGTGCTCTGTTCTCGGTACTTGCAGAGGCGCTATGCATTTTAACATAGTAATCCCTTATCACACTTGCCGGGATTCGAACTCGGGACCTAACTCTTGTAGCACTCTCTTGATACCAGTTGAGCTAGGCCACCAGTTGGAAGAATGAAATCAATAACTATAAAATGAACATTTTTTATGTACAATTAAGCTTACAACCGTAAATAAAACGTGTACAATTTCCCACCATTATTGCGTAAAGGATAAAAAGTTGATGTACACATACTTTTTTGTCAGACTTCATATTTTATTTTTTCATCGAGCATATGACAGTGCAATGAATTACTCTTCTCTCCCGAATTGAATTGTAAACATTGACCGTCACAAGGAATAAGGAACGACAATAAATGATGCTTGTTTTTTACATTTTTCACATCTTTTTAAAAGTAGATACTTTTAAGTTACTGAGGAAAAAGTAAAAGTAATGGTAAATTTGTCACTTTGTTGTTATTTATATACCTAAAATAGAAAATGAAAAACTATTTTGAGACAAATTTTACAAATTAAATTGTGATGGATGGAATAAAAAGTTGTGTGATGACAGAGTATGAAATTTGAGCATTTTAACGTGCAAGCTGGAATCGACGGAAGCGGTGTGCAAACGGATATGCTGAGTTTGAATTCAACGGTGAAGATCTTCTTTCGGAATCCCGCCACTTTCTTTGGCGTGCATGTTACGGCCACCCCTCTCCGGCTTTACTACTACAACCTCAACATTGCCACCGGTCACGTAAGTTTCTCCCTATTTCTAATCATTAAATAAATTTGTACATATATTACCAGTACTGCTCCATAATCCATATTATCTTCTCCCTCTTTTTATATGATAAAAAGAGTTGGTTGATAAGGCCAGGGCCGTAGATGAGGGCGTGCAAGAAGTGCAACCGCACAAGGCCTCTCAATTTCAGAAGGCCCAAAAATTTAAATATAGTCTATATAATATAATAAATCTTTATTTATTTGATTAAAAATTCGTATCTTATTATTATTTTAAAATACAAACATTAAATAATAATATTTTTATGTAATTAAAGTACAATTGTTAATTACAATTGTGTGATTTCTTTATTTCACAAGGCCTAATTACATTAATTAGCACAAAATCCTCGTACAGTTTGGAACGAGCTTGTAACTACTTTCTTTTTCATACTTTGTCATTACTTTACTTTTCTTAATTTATTCTCTTTTCTACTTTTCATTTACCTTTAGGGCCTACTATTTTCATCTTAAAACCCACAAAAAATCTAAGGACACTATTATTTAAAAACAGTGAAAGTAATCATATAATAATGATTATATAATGATAAAAAAAACTTAGGGCCTCATTTTCAATTTTGCACAGGGCCTTCTATATGTCTGGGCCGGCCCTGGATAAGACTTATATAAATTTAAATAGGAATTACCAAATGCGCTTTTAGAACTGTTGTAATTAAAAGAACAATTGAATTGAACTGTTTTGACGGGTTAGTATATTAATACTTGGTATATTATGGAAGCTATGCTCCATTTAATTGAAGTATTGAACTTCTTGTTTGAGTTACCTTGTCTTATGGATGAATGAATGTTGAAACATGATTGATTTATCTAAATCTAAATTTATTATAAAAAAGGATGATACCCATCCCTGAGGGCTCTCCAACACCGACCAGACAGTTAGATTGAAGGATATATATTGGACTTTAATCACAAGCTGACATATAGAAAATGGGGTTCTAACTCTCGTACTTGCAGAAGTCCTATGCATTTTTTGCATGGTGACCTCTCGTCACAATTATCGGAATTCGAACTCGAGACTCACTCTTGTGGCACCACCTGTCTACGGTTGTGCTACGGCCACCACTATCTAAATTTATTACAAGTATCACCAAAAGAGGCCGGAAAGGGAGTGTACCAACCATGTCTCCTTTCCCTAGAATTTGCATTGGAGGAATTGAACTACACCAATTACATGCAGAGGCGGACCGTAGTACAGATTCAGGGGGCTTACCGCTCCCCCAACAAGAATTTTTTTTAGTGTATATATATATGAAAAATAATTTTCTCCTTCTGAAAAAATATTTTGAGCCCTCCAAAAAATATTTTCACCCCCAAGATGACTTTCCTGGGTCCGCCCCTGATTACATGCAAAGAGTAATATAGTTCCCTGTCCCACATCAATACAATGGAACGCGTTTACTTCTTAGCCGCCTTCGTATCTACTATTATTGCGTTTTCTTCTTGGTTTCACATTCCGTAATTAGTTATGTCCTTATTTGCCTTCACAACTCCCTCGCCTACCCCCCTCCTTTCATACTCTGTAAATGCCGGTTTGAACACAAATGCCTTTTGGTCCCACTCTTCGGTTTATCTAATTGTCGATCAGTGGAGGACCTAGGGGGGTTAGGTGAGCCATATGCCCCGCTTCGGATCCCTAAATTCATTAGTAGCACTTAAGGTAAAAACCAGTGCTCCACTTTGGACCCGAAGTGTTTATTATAGACTAAGCTTAATGTCTAGTGTTTCCGTTCTCATTAATCTCTGAGTCCGTCACTTAAATGTCAAAACTACTTTGTTTAACTTTTTCATAATTTTTTGTTTAATTTCTAGTTCTGTTTTGATGTCGATTGTCAACAAAAGTCAATTTCAAAATGTCAAAACTACTTTTTTTCACTACATGTTTAAACCCGCATTTCCTTTCAGAAACATTGTATTTGTCCACATTATGGACTAATTTTAAAAGTGAAGTCTTTGTTTTGAGATTTCTCCATCCAAACAGAGCCTAAAGAACTTTAGATTTGTGCAATTTTCAATTCTGGCGCATGTGGGTAATAAACCATATACATGCAGATTAAAAACTTCTATGAGGCAAGGAAAAGCAAGCGGGTATTGGTGACAGTTGTGGAAGGATACCAGATTCCGGTGTATGGGGCGGTGCCGATCGTCGGTGGCGGTGACGACGGCGACACTGTGTCTGTACCGCTCAACCTAACTTTTGTCATTCGCTCACGGGCCTATATTTTGGGCCGGTTGGTCAAGTCCAAATTCTACACCCATGTTTTATGCCAAGTTGCTCTAAGCGGAAACCATGTCGGAAAGCCCATTAACCTGACTACTCCTGGATCTTGTACTTATCATTGAAAATATTTACAAAGATATATTGCTTAAATTATTTATTAATTTACTGCATCTTCTTGCAATGCAGTTATTGTTATCCGGGAAGTTAAACTAATCAGGCATAGCTAGTTTTGTTGTAGTAAAAAACCGCCAGAACATGGCTGGGGTTTTCTAACTTTTTCATAATTTGTTGTTTAATTTCTAGTTCTGTTTGTAGATTTAATTGAAAAATTCTGAAAATAGCAGTAAGTACTTTTTGAAATTATGTAGTCATGTTATTATTCTCTAAATAGGAGTAGATACTAGCAATTTTTAAAATTTTTAAATTAGTCTGATTTGAAAACACGAGAGTTCAATTTTGAAATTTGCAAACATTTTTAGTACCATTTATATCGACTTTTTATTTATTTTTTATTTGTTACTCTCTATGTGGTGTAGTGCTATAACACTATTATATGGGATTATAACCTATAACTCTATATGGGACAAATGCAGATGGAATCATTAAAGCTCGAACTCGACTTCACTGTTCAATGCAACGAGTTGAACTTGAGCTTGCTATACTCCTAGATGAGTTTAACAAGACGAGCCACTTCGATCCAATAAACGATAAGAATTGTGAGCAATGCATAGGTGAAGTAATTCCATGGCATAAACAGATTATGATTATAGAAAGCTCGTCCGAGTTCAAGCTCAATGAGATTGGCTTGAGTGTTATAATGACTAAAGTTCGACTTACAAATTATTTTATAACTATCAAAGTTCATCTCATTGAGATTGAGCTTTAACGAGTACAACTTGACTAAGGCTTAACTCTTGAAATCGAAATATAATGTGTTCGAGTCGAGTTTGAATTCATTATTATTATCTAATTCCACTTGGTTCGTTCAATAGCATTACAGGAAGATGTGTATAAGTCATATTCCTTCCATCCCATTTACAGTTAGTCATTGTTTATTTTTCCGGTCAATACATTGAAGTTTGTCTGATAATATGTTCATTATTATTATTATGTTATAGAATTAACGAAAAATATTTATTTTGTGTGTGAATGCCGTATATTAACGAAATACTATTAATTATTATTTCTAACAGTAAGCTGTATGTGATTATTCTCTTGTATACAATCGCACTACTCTGTAAAATATACTGTAACCTCAATTCTCAAACCCAAAAAAGTAATGTAATTAATGGTTACACAGATCAAATAAAGCGGTTGCTTAAGGCTTAAAGAAGCTAATTTTAACACCGGTATCGATGACAATGTAGAGCCCAGCCGAAACCAGGATCCCGCTGAGGCCCATACCACTAAGGCCCAGAACCCAGTTGACCCACCACATCGGGCCGTACGCCTTCGGCCTTTTCACCTTAAGCCACATGAAACACGGGTAGGAAAAAGTAACCGGCAAAGCAATCCCGCCGATGAGACCGGCGAAGCTGGCCAAGAATGGAACGGCGACGGCCACAAAGAACGAGAAAAACCCGAAAAACGCCCGGAAAATCCCCCGGAGCCACCACGGGCAGGCCCTGTTGCACTTCTTGGTGTAAACAGACTCCATGTCGTCGAACACGGGCATGGCGTAGATCTGGAAAGAGCTTAGTGCGTTGACTATGACGCAGCCGCTGATGAGGCCCAGGACGCCCCTGGCGACGTCGTGGCGGTGGAAAGCGTAGAGGGCGGTCAACATGCCGCTGCCGGTGGGTGGGACCAGTTGACCGTAGGCCCAGTAGCCACCTATTGCGAGTGGGAACAAACACAGTGCTACGTGAAGGTATGCGAACTTCACACCCCTCCACATCGGCACTTTCGACGGCTGCTTTTCACTCGACGGCATTGTTGCCTGCATGGCCAAGCCGAGTCACCAACTAATAATAATAATACTCTCTCCATACCAAAAAGGTTCGCCAAATTGACTCGGGTAATGACAATCAACTTTGACCAATGATTATTTTTTAATACGAAATTATTTAGAATATAAAAATTATATCAAAATTTTCCATCATTTGCAATAGAGCCAAAGATTCATTATTTTTTGGTTTGAGATTATGATAGAATAAAGCAAAATGGCTCACTAAACTGTTTGCGCTTCTTTGTCATGAAACACCAGTCAGTCCATGCAATTTTGGACGGGATTTTCACTATGGGTCATCCGGAAACAGTCTCTCTGTGCTTTAGTACAGAGGTAAGACTGCGTAGATCCGACCCCCCCTTACCCCACCGTAGGTGGGAGCCTTTGCGGCACTGGGGTAAATGAAAATGAAAAAAATGATAAAAATTATATCAAAATCTTCCTTATTCAAAATATTTTCATAAAAGTATAAAATATATAAATTATATACAAATATAATAACTGAAATCATTTTCCAAAGTTTATCACCATTGACCAAGAAAAGTCAATTTGGTGAACCTTTTCAAGACGGAGATAGTAGTAGTAGTAGTAGTAGTAATAATAATAATAATAATAATAATAATAATAATAATAATAATAATAATAATAATAATAATAATAATAATAATAATAATAATAATAATAATAATAACAACAACGATAATACGTTGTACTATTGTACCCTCCATTATATTCCTATTAAACTTCCATTTTCCCTTGTCACCAAAGATGACATTTTTTTAATAATACGTAGTACTCATCCGTTCCTATTATATCTTCTTACTTTCTTTTTTCATTCATTCCAATGAAGCTTTCATTTTCCTTTTTTGGTAAAGAATTTGTACGTTACAACATTTCGTACACGTTTGTCTCTCTTCTGCACAATTCTTCACTACACAATACCCACTTTTATTAAATTGTGTGCCAAAGTTAAATGAAATATATGATAGGAACGGAGGGAGTAGTAATAAGGCGAGTTAGCGCATTAAAAATGATTATTTACACCACGGCATATCTCACCACCTTGAATCAGAATGACATGATGTTAATGGTTTAAGCTTATTTTTTCGTAGATACATGTAAAAAGATTTTGAAAAAAATTACTATGTATACATGCTACATATATACCTCATGTGTATTAACATACAACTTTTTCAGTTTTTCGTAGTATATACGGAGTAATATATTTTCTTTGAAAAAAATTGAGGTGAGACTAGGTCCTACCGGACTTGAGGATAGATCGGTCCCTTAAAAACGACAATACCCCATTCGTCTTACTGTTATTTATAGGTTGTTCTAAAATGAATATCATGTTGCTTTTGACAAAAAATATACGGAATATGTTACATATCTGATGGAGTATATGGCCCAGGAACCCCTGGCCCACATACTTCCTCTACTACAATCAGATCCAAACGGATCAAGTCCAGCAAAATGGAGCTCTAAGCAGCCCACAATACGCAAAGGGGTGCCTTCGGCCCTATGGCCGAAGGCTACCAGTGACGGAATCGAGCTTAGAAACATCACAGGAGAACAAGGCTTGAAAACCAAGCCTTCGGCAACTGCAACCCTCGGCAGGTAGGAGCCCTCGGGTAGAAGAGGCATCACTGGAGAACAAGCCTTGAAAACCAAGCCTTCGGCAACTGCAGCCCTCGGCAGGTAGGAGCCCTCGGGTAGAAGAGGCATCACAGGAGAACAAGCCTTGAAAACTAAGTCTTCAGCAACTGCAGCCCTCGGCAGGTAGGAGCCCTCGGTTAGAAGAGGCATCACAGGAGAACAAGGCTTGAAAACCAAGCATCCGGCTCAGCACCCTTCAGCCGAAGGCATCCACCTCGACAGAATATTCTCTTCACATGTGCCTGGATCACCGTACCAAGTACAAACGTCACATCCAACCACCGCATTTAATGCGGCCACATGCGAGTGCCAGTGCCACCCCGGTCGAGGTGACCCCTCGACCACCAGAAAACTGACACGTGTCCTTATCTAGCATTTATTACTACTATAAATAGCACCCCTTTCCCCCATTGTAAACCACACTTAATACATATCGAATATACACTCTCTCTCTCTCTTACTTATTTTCTCTGACTTCTCTCTAGTTATTCTCCGCAATAACCCCTCGGATAAGCTACCCCCCGGGTACACTATCCATCATTTTGGTGCTCTCGTTGAGAGGTCGAACAATCAAGTAAGAATCCCTCCCCCTCGACCAAACACAAAACACCTAGCTAAAATGGTGAGAACAACTCGTGCCAACTCCAAGAATGTAGAGGACAGGAACCTGGCCCTCGGCGAGGTCGACGTCAGCGAAGCCTCCAACAGGGCTCCCGGGGGCGGCGTCATCGCCGGGTTGGACCGGACGGCTATCGACCTACGCCATCAAATTCAACAGAATGCCCCCGATGCCTGCCTCGGCATCGAGGCCAAGAAGAAGGACCGGAGCGAGAATCAAATTAGCCCTCCGGTCATCACATTTGACGTACAATCGGCGCTCTCCGCCTTCATCCAGACGCTCACCCAGAACTCGGGTGCCTTCGACACTTTGGTTCCCCTCCAACCTGAGGTCGGGGAGAATATTATGTCTCCCCCTCATCCACACCCCCTCGGGAACCCGGTCCTCCGGATTGGGAACTCCGAGGGGGTCGTGGCCCAAGATACGGCCTCCCAGGAAGTCCAATCCTGGGACCGCCACAACGTAAACAAAGAACAACTCCGGACCTCCGCCCTCGAGAGACTCGGAGGGGCGCAAGATCGCCGAGGGGTCCAAGACCGCCTCAGGGGGAAGGCGTTCCAGAGGCCTCATGAAAGTGGCGGATCCGTCTCCAGGGCCAATGAAAGGCGACCCCTTCAGGACAAAGGCAAGGCACCTCTCCATGTCAACGACGCCCGCCATCAAATCAACCAGGCCCACTCGGCCCGCGTCCGTTCGCAGGGGGCGGAGGCCCTCCCGAAGGACCCTCGAGACGAAATCATTGCAGCCCTCCAGCGCCGGCTCGACGAGATGGAGGCCACCAAAGCACACGCCACCACTTCTGCCCCTCATACAGACCTCAAGTATGAGGCAATGTTGGCCAAAATGGAGGAGATGCAAAGGAAATTTGCCGAAGGCTCCGGGGAACCCGTCATCCAGCTCCGAACTAGGACGCCATTTACCCCAAGGGTATTGGAGGCCCAAATTCCGGAAAAGTACCGAGGGCAACTCATCAAGCCCTATGAAGGAAAAACTGACCCCCAGGAGCACTACAACAGGTATCAAAACAACATGATGATGATGGGGGCATCAGATGAATACTTATGTCGTTGGTTCCTTTCCACCTTGGAGGGACCACCATGGAAGCCACACCCAGCAGGGCCGTAACGAACGACAATGGCGCCCTCGGCTGGACATGCCGAGGACTCCCCTCACGCACCCGGTGAGCACTATCCTCAACTATGCGGAAGAGCAGGACCTTTTCCCCAAGGACCCTCGGTCGGCGAGGGAGATCTACGCCATCCACCAAGGCGGCACTTATTGTCGTTACCACAAAAGCACCTCCCACAATACAGACAATTGTGTCTCGTTAAAGAAGGCTATTGAACTCTTAATTCAACGGGGTGAGCTCCACCAATTCATCAAAAATGCCCCAAGGAAAAACACCGGGGAGAACACTGATAAAGAAGAAGGGGACATCGCAACGAAGAAACATGAAATCAGGAGGCTCAGCGATAGCGAGAAGTTCGAGGAGCCCCAGCCGAAGAAGCGCCACCTCCGCTAATCATTTTCCTCGCCTTCGGCGTTAGTCTAAGCCTTGGGCCCTCGACCTCGAGGCACATTATCATCCCCTCGACCTAGAGCCCTCGGCCTTGAGCGGTGAATCTTAACAAAGCCGTTGTCAAACAATGCACCCCTTGTATTCCGCTTATTTCTATGAATTTAAGTAAACTACAACACAATCCAGACATCTTATCGGCCCCTTCGAGGCCAAATGCCCAGGTATGGCCGATGGTGTCTAAAGACGAGGGACCTGCAAAAGGACCGCGTTTTTGGAGCGGGACGCTCACCGCGTCGCCGGCGCGCAACGCACAGCGACAGGCCTGAAAGAATGGCTGAGGTGAAGAAATCCCCAAACTTGGGGGTGAAACGGTAGTCGTCGGAAACTGACCAAGCCTAGCCCCCAAGGTCAAGGGACGGTTCAGCGCCGGGGGACTAATAGACGAACCCCCGGACAGATCACTTGGACCCCCTTCCGGCCGAGGCGGGGAAGCAACCCCCTTGGCTGAAGCCTAAAAAAAGGAACACACATCGGGAGGACTAATATACGACCTCCTGGCACAATCAAGGGACGGCCCAGCGCCGGGGGACTAACAGACGAACCCCCGGACGGATCACTTGGACCCCCTTCCGGCCGAGGCGGGGAAGTAACCCCCTCGGTTGAAGCCTGAAAGAAGGAACACACATCGGGAGGACTAACATACGACCTCCTGGCACAATCAAGGGGCGGCCCAGCGCTGGGGGACTAACAGACGAACCCCCGGACGGATCACTTGGACCCCCTTTCGGCCAAAGCGGGGAATCAACCCCCTCGGTCGAAGCCTGAAAGAAGGAACATACACCCGGAGGACTCCCGGAACTATCAAGGAAAGGCCCTCGTCCTCAATTTGATTCTAAATCACCAAAGGCCCTCGGCCTCAATGTGAGGACATCACAATGGCCCTCGGCCTCAGCATCAGACGGCCCTCGGCCTCAACATGACTATATGTCATAACGGTCTTGGCCTTAGCGTGATCTCACATCACCAACGGCCCTCGGCCTCAGCATGATTCCACATCACAATGGCCCTCGGCCTCAACATCATATGGCCCTCGGCCTCAACATCAACAACGTCCCTCGACCTCAACATCAGAATGGCCCTCAGCCTCAACATCAACAACGGCCCTCGGCCTCAGCGTGAGGACATCACAATGGCCCTCGGCCTCAGCATCAGACGGCCCTCGGCCTCAACATGACTATATGTCATAACGGTCTTGGCCTTAGCGTGATCTCACATCACCAACGGCCCTCGGCCTCAGTGTGATTCCACATCACAATGGCCCTCGGCCTCAACATCAGATGGCCCTCGGCCTCAACATCAACAACGTCCCTCGACCTCAGCATCAGAATGGCCCTCGGCCTCAAATCAACAACGACCCTCGGCCTCAGCGTGAGGACATCACAATGGCCCTCGGCCTCAGCATCAGATGGCCCTCGGCCTCAACATGACTATATGTCATAACGGTCTTGGCCTTAGCGTGATCTCACATCACCAACGGCCCTCAGCCTTAGTGTGATCCCACATCACAACGGCCCTCGGACTCAACATTAGAACGGCCCTCGGTCTCAAAATCAACAACGTCCCTCAACCTCAGCATCAGAACGGCCCTCGGCCTCAACATCACCAATGGCCCTCGGCCTCAGCATGATTCCAAATCACAATGGCCCTCAGCCTCAACATCAGATGGCCCTCGGCCTCAACATCAACAACGTCCCTCGACCTCAGCATCAGAACGGCCCTCGGCCTCAACATCAACAACGGCCCTCGGCCTCAGCGTGAGGACATCACAATGGCCCTCGGCCTCAGCATCAGACGGCCCTCGGCCTCAACATGACTATATGTCATAACGGTCTTGGCCTTAGCGTGATCTCACATCACCAACGGCCCTCGGCCTCAGCATGATTCCACATCACAACGGCCCTCGGCCTTCATCCCTCCGACATCTTTATTTGATGTCGGGCGCTATCATACACACCCATCAGCCTTCATCCCTCCGGCATTTTTATTTGATGTCGGGGGCAATCACACAGGTCCCTCGGCCTTCATCCCTCCGACATCTTTATTTGATGTTGGGGGCTATCATTCAGGCCCATCGGCCTTCATCCCTCTGGCATCTTTATTTGATGTCGGGGGCAATCACACAGGTCCCTCGGCCTTCATCCCTCCGACATCTTTATTTGATGCCAGAGGCTATCATACAGGCCCATCGGCCTTCATCCCTCCGACATCTTTATTTGATGTCGAGGGCCATCACACAGGCCATCGGCCTTCAGCCCTCCGGCATATTTATTTGATGCCAGGAGCTATCATACAGGCCCCTCGGCCTTCATCCCTCCGACATCTTTATTTGATGTCGGGGGCCATCATGAAGACCCCTCGGTCTCCATCCCTCTAGCATCTGTATTTGATGCCAGGGGCTCTAACACAAGCCCACCTGGCCTTGCACCCATCCGTCACCTTTATTTGATAACGGGGGGGGGGGGGGGGGGGGGGGTCCTTACAAGCTCCTTAGCTTTTTCATGCAGGATCTAAGGCTGATCTTGGATATCCCCTCAGCAGACGGACACAACCGCCGCTCAACAATCAAGGCCGAAGGGTGCACTCCTTTTGCTTCATTCTGAGGGCATCCGGTGTACTCTTTTTCCCTCATTAGGATTTTTTCCCACAGGATTTTTTCCTAATGAGGTTTTTAACGAGGCATCTCCCCATTGTGCAACAAAAGGCGTCACCCCTCGACGGCTCCTACTGAAGGCATGCATCACTCTACTCCTTTTTCCCTCGAGAAACTCTCGGCAAAAGGAGTGGGGGACTAGGGGACTCCCCTCGGCAAAACACGCAAATGTTAAAAATTATCTATTTCTCAGCTACAGCAAGCTGAGGCAAGATCACAACGGCAATCTACTCCCCTCGACATGATGCTTTCGGCTTACAGAATGCCTCCGGCCACACAATGCCTTCGGCCACATGATGCCTCCGGCCACACAATGCCTCCGGCCACATGATGCCTTCGGCCACATGATGCCTCCGGTCACATGATGCCTTCAGCCACACAAAGCCTTCAGTCAACAAATGCCCTCGGCAAAGCACACAAATGCAGATCTCTCATTACTTTACAAACTACAACAAAGAAACACATACGAGCAACACACTTACACTCCCTTCAGGAAGCTCTCAGCCCTCGACATATGGCGGAATTGAGAAAATGAGGCACCCAACAGAACAGAGAAGCCTTCGGGGAAATCACCACAGCTACTCCTTTTCCCTCAAGTACCTTTCGGCAAAAGGAGTGGGGGACTCCTGATGGAGTATATGGCCTAGGGACCCCCGGCCCACATACTTCCTCTACTACAATCAGGCCCAACAGGCCCAAACGGGCCAAGCCCAGCAAAATGGAACTCTAAGCAGCCCACAATACGCAAAGGGGTGCCTTCGGCCCTATGGCCGAAGGCTACCAGTGACGGAATCGAGCTTAGAAACATCACAGGAGAACAAGGCTTGAAAACCAAGCCTTCGGCAATTGCAGCCTTCGGCAGGTAGGAGCCCTCGGGTAGAAGAGGCATCACAAGAAAATAAGCCTTGAAAACCAAGCCTTCGGCAACTGCAGCCCTCGGCAAGTAGGAGCCCTCGGTTAGAAGAGGCATCACAGGAGAACAAGGCTTGAAAACCAAGCCTTCGGCACCTGCAGCCCTCGGCAGGTAGGAACCCTCGGTTAGAAGAGCCTTCGGCCCAACACCCTTCAGCCGAAGGCATCCACCTCGACAGAATATCCTCTTCACATGCGCCTGGATCACCGTACCAAGTACAAACGTCACATCCAACCACCGCATTTAATGCGGCCACATGTGAGTGCCAGTGCCACCCCGGTCGAGGTGACCCCTCGATCACCAGAAAACTGACACATGTCCTTATCTAGCATTTATTACTACTATAAATAGCACCCATTTCCCTCATTGTAAACCACACTTAATATATATCGAATATACACTCTCTCTTACTTATTTTCTCTGACTTCTCTCTAGTTATTGTCCGCAATAACCCCTCGGATAAGCTACCCCCGATACACTATCCATCAATATCGTTTTATTTTATTTTAGTCAAATTTCAATCACAATTTTTTATTTTAGTATGACAAACTAAAATTGAACATCACATATTAGATAGGCAGCGGTAATAGTAACAATAATAATGGTCATTTTTTAATGATATGAATGTTCGTTTTTAAAAAATGGGTTGACTTTTTGTAACAATTTTTATTGGCCAATAGCAAGTGGCAGTTAAACTATGATGAAAGCTGCACTCGTTGACCAAAGAATGAGGGAAAAATGAAAGGATTGAGTAGGTGAAAGGTCGGTACGTAGGTTACCTGTATCTCAAGGATTAGATTGTGACCTCTGAAGGCAAACGCAATGATACCAATAGCGTTGAGGATGTCGGGGATCCTCGCTATTTCCGTCCGGCCACCACGTTTGATGGGATGATATGACACGTCCGGGAGGCTGCCCTTTGCGACGGAGACTGACCATATAAGGGTACAGTACGCGATGGCGGTGAGAGCTCCGAGGAGTGAAACTCCGGCAATGGAGTTTAAATTGGGGAGTTGAGAGAGGATGACGGCGGAGCATGTGAACACCAGATACCACTCTACGGTGGTCAACGGTTCGGAGGTTGAGGCACACGTGCCACCACCACATATTGTCTGGTAAAGCATTTTGGCCGTTGAACCGCCGATGATGATTAGTGTTGTACATGTTCCTGCTGATAAATACGCGATTGGAAATGCCGCAAAAACTTTTGCCGGTCTCTCTCCTGCTCCATAGATCCAAAAATAAAATAATACTGGAGTGTGAAACAAAATAATTTGTAGCAAGTGTTATTATACTGCTTTTTTAATACTACGTATTAAAAAATAATACTTCTAAATAGTCAAGGCATCGTAGAAGGACCCTTTTTAATAAGAGAAAATATAAGTTTTACAATTTTTAATTAATAAAGTTTATAAGTTTTTATTTTTGATAATGAAACACAAGTATATTTATTCGTGAGGACGTCGGACGTACGGTGCTTAATTAACGTTAAGCGCATTCACTTTTAATTAATTACCCTAATTCAATACATGCCTCGGCCCATAACGGGGTACGGGTAAGGAATTGAATACATATAAAATCATACTCGTCCCATTACCCGTATATATAAACCGGGTACTCCTCGTCTCGTACTCAAGCAATTATCCAATCGATCAATACGATTTTCTCCATTTTAACTGGTTCAGTTCGTTGCGAATATCCATAGAGTCGGTTAGATAGATTGTCATCCTTAAGAAGTAAGAGCGATACTTAACGTTAGAACATTCACTTTTAATTAACCTAATTCAATACACTAATGAGACTTACAGTTTTTCAATTTTGATAAAAAATGTCAAGTTCAGATTTCAATTTGGATAAAAAATGTCAAGTTCAAATTAAACATTGCATGACATGAGCTTAGCTTAAATATACTTTTTAATATAACCACGCAATCCATGCACGTTACGTACCGAAGGTGGAATTAGCTAATTGCATGTATCTGCTATAACGAACTCCAGTGTCGACGTTCTCATGGAGTTGAACCATTAGGTAGAGTGTGTAAAGTTGCCATATAAACGCTACTGTTAAGCACACCACCCCCCACGTCCTGTGTACATGTATTCACATACAATATATCTATCAAATATTGTTTCTTATGTTATTAGGATTAAATTAAATAACACAAAAAATACTTTTGAATTGTAAAGATGGCTTATGGTTTACTCCCTCCGTCCCAGAAAATTCTTCCTAACTACTTGGACTTGGCACGGATATTAAGAAAGTGGAATTAAGTGGAAATGTGTGGTTGTAGTTGTATAAGAAAAATGTGAAATAAATGTGAACCGCACAAATTGTCCAAAAATGGTAAGTGAGAAGAATTTTTTGGGACGACCCAAAAAGGAAAGTGGGAAGAATTTTATGGAACGGAGGAAGAGTCTAATTGCAAACCCCTTTAATTTTTTTTCCTAAATAAATTATTAAGGGAAATTACCCTAGCTAAATAGGTCTAAAAACGTTTGTATATTCCAAAATAGAATTGTCATGTTTTTATTCCCAAAATAGGACTAATTAGTATCATGTCTAAAGTCTGGTACTTTCAAAACATGATAGTAATTAGTCCTATTTTGGGAATAAAAATATGACAGTTATATTTTGGAATTTCCAAACTTATTTACTCCTATTTCGGGAATTTTCCCAATTATTAACTTATTATGTCATTAATAATACTTCTAATTCAAAACACTACTCCGTAATAACTAATTTTATTCATTTTTATTATAGAAATTAGTTCAAATAGGACTAAAACTATGGCAAAAACCTAAAATAGGACTTGCTATGTTTTTATTCCAAAATAGGACCATATGAGTCCTATTGGAAACATACCTATTTTTGCATTCCATTCTTACCCTTCCATTAAATATGAATTAAAAATAGTCAAAAGCCATAATTAAATGTTTAATTCATAATAAATTCGAAAAAAAATCAAAAATTCGTAGAAATATAATTAAAAAATTTATAAAATTTTTATAAAATAAAAAATTCAAAAACTTTTTTTTAAATAATTTTATTTTAAAAAAAATTAATAAAAAATAGTAAAACTCCGTAACAAAAATTTAAAAAAAATATGGATGCCTTTCCCACCGCCTGTACTACCTCCCAGCACCACCACCTCCGGCCGATGAAAAAAATACCATTTTCCCAGAAAAATGCCATTTTTTTCTGAAAATGCCAAAAAGTGGCATATTTCTCTTTTCGAATGCCAACATTTTTCATTTTTTTCTGCCATAAATATGGCATTCATAGTGAACTTGGCATTTTTTTCCCCTGGTGACTGGAGGTGGTGGTGATGAGGCGGCAGAGGCGGCGGCGATTTTTTTTTTTTGATTTTTTTTTATTTTTTTTAATTTTTTGAAAAAAAGAATTAATTAAATTTTTAATATCGAAATGTTTTTCTTAATTTTTTAGTATTTTTTACGATTTTTTATTATTTTTTATTATTTTATTAGGAATTAAAACATTTTAATAGCTATAAGGGTATAATTGTCCAAGATACACATAATTAGTCCTATGCAAACATAGTTTATTTTTTGATCCTATTTGTGAAAAGTGAATGACTTTTAGTCCTATTTTGATAATTAACTCTTTTTATTACGGAATACTAAATTTGTCTTACTTTTAGGCAAAAACAAAGAAAGAGTGTGAAATTAAAGAACCAAACCAGCCAAGAAAAGTAAAGGAAACGGGGAGAACGAGGGCTTGAATGCCAATTCCAGAGCACAAAGTGTGAAAGGCGGCATAAAGAGCGTTTCCGTTTCTTGACCCCGTGATGGGCAGCCACGCGTCTTGTGGGTCCAGCCTCGTCATATTCAAAGCCTTCTTCAGCGGGCTTCCCAACGGCGTTATGAACCTCGCCGGAGTTCGCGACTTAGTTGGGGTCTTGTAGGGCGCGCTAGCTGATCCGTCTCCTGCACCGGCGAGGTCCTCGGTGGTCAGCAGCGGAGATCGAGACATGGATGGCGAGTGGAGCTGCGAAGGCGGAGCCGACACTATGGGCGGTGTCATAGCGGGCGGCGCCGGGCGTTGAGGCGTCATGGGAGCAGACCAAATACCATCTTTTGGTAACAAGTCTCCCATTTATTTTAATTTCTTAATTAATTAACACTTCACGAAGAGTGAATTGAAGAACTCTATTTTAATTTGCTTCTAATATATGCATATATATATTTATACATATACATCCACGTTACGCAAATGCTCACACCCCGGCCGGCCCGTGACCCTATGATCACCAATGACTCTATTTTCATTGATCCAACTTAATATTTCATATTTTATTTACATTTAAATTATTCAATTGAAAATTTTTTATTAGTCCATACCTTCCAGGTACGGTACCTGAAAGGTATGCCAGAAATTGCCTTAAATATATCATAATTAAGATCATGTATGCCATAAAACTTTGACGGTGTGTAACTAAGGTCATGTATGCGGCCATACAACTAATATAGGACTTATAGCTAGGTCATGTGTAACCATCCTATGTGGCCGGTGTGAAAGGATCCGCCGTCCAGCCGCCGCATTGTGAAACTTTGGAGGAACGTTTTTTGATAGATTATCTCCACAAATTTCAGCTTAAAATTCGATAAAAAAGTCAATCAAATGTTAGATTTAAAAATATTGCGTTGTTTACATACATAAAGCGCAATACTTTTAAATAATTTAATTAACTGTATTTCTAATTGAATTTTAAGCTGACATTTCGAGGGCACAATCTACATTCCATTAAGAACATTCTCGAACAAAATTGTTAAAATAAAATTCTATTATAAACCACCATAAAAGAGGGTACCAAATGGTGCATATCCTGTCACACGATCATTCATCTCGACTTATATGTTAGGGAAAAGGTACAAATATACTCTGATCTTGTAGTTGAGTGTGAGAACAAATATACTCTTGTTCTACTTTTCGAAACAAATATACCTTGGAAGTATATGTGGAAGTGCATATATATACCCCTTAACTTTTAAAAGGTGCAAAAATACCCCTTGTATTCATATAAAAGAGCAATTAAGTTTACCCTTATTGACTTTAAATTGGTATAATAAAATTCAAAAAACACCAAAAATAAATTATAAATTCGAAGTTAAAAACATACTTCCTCTGCCCCGTAAACAACTTCACTCTTTCCTTTTCGGGCAAGCCCGAAATTAATTTCACACTTCTTCCCACTTCCTTATCTGACAAATTCTCTACATCCAAACAGTGTCAAACCAGTAACAGTCAAAATTCTCTACATTCAATTATATAATTTCACACTTTTTCTCACATCCAAACCAAACAGTGTCAAAACAGTAAAATTTACCCTCTAGTAAGTTTATTTCCTTAATACCCGTGAAGTCAAACTGTGAAATTGTTTACGGGACGGGGACGGGACGGGGGGGGGGGGGGTAAAAATTATATAAAAATGTACTTGTGTCCAATTCTCCCTTTTATTGTTTCTTTATCACAATTTAATATTGTTAGTATAAAATATTATTTCAAAACTTTACTATATATTTAAGATTCTTTTGAAAGAGTATTAACATATGTGTTGCAATGTAAAAAAACATTAATTCTTTGCACTATAAAATTACATATTTTGTATGATTACAAACAGTCCAAGATTACAAAATAGTGAATTTAATTTTATTAAGGTTAAGAAAAATTCAAAGAATGTTATTTAAAAAATGTATCAATGTATTCAAAATTTCACAACAAGACTAAAATTAAAATTAATGAATTTGAAGTGTTTCATTTACAACGGCAAAATAATAATTTTGCAATTTAAAGTTAAAGAGTTAATATTTTAACAAAATAATAAATCTTTATTTAAATTTTGAATTTATAATTTTTTTAGTGTTTTTTGAAATTTATACTACCTTCGTTCTCTTTTAATTGCAACATTGGATTTCTTACACTATTCACATATTCTACTTTGACTATATTTTATTAATTAATGTATTATAAATTAAATTTTAAAAAATTATTTTTAAATTCTTCTCATTCCAAATTTTCAAAACTATGGATTTTTTATTTTTTTCACTAATAAGGTATGAAAGATATTAATAGTCAAACTTGTGCGTTGGCAAACGTGAAAATGTTGACGGTTGCAATTAAAAGGGAACAGAGAAAATATTATCTATTTAAAGTCAATAAGAGTAGATTGTTCATTTTTAAGATAGAAATTAGTTCAAATAGGACTAAAACTATGGCAAAAACCTAAAATATGACTTGCTATGTTTTTATTCCAAAATAGGACCATATGAGTCCTATTGGAAACATACCTATTTTTGCATTTCATTCTTACCCTTCCATTAAATATGAATTAAAAATAGTCAAAAGCCATAATTAAATGTTTAATTCATCTTAAATTCGAAAAAAATTCAAAAAATCGTAGAAATATAATTAAAAAATTTATAAAATTTTTATAAAATAAAAAATTCAATTTTTTTTTAAATAATTTTATTTTAAAAAAAATTAATAAAAATAGTAAAACTCCGTAAAAAAAATTTTAAAAAATATGGATGCCTTTCCCACCGCCTGTACTACCTCCCAGCACCACCACCTCCGGCCGATGAAAAAATGCCATTTTCCCAGAAAAATGCCATTTTTTTCTGAAAATGCCAAAAAGTGGCATATTTCTCTTTTCGAATGCCAACATTTTCATTTTTTTCTACCATAAATATGGCATTCGTAATGAACTTGGCAATTTTTTCCCCTGGTGACTGGAGGTGGTGGTGCTGAGGCAGCAGAGGCGGCGGCGATTTTTTTTTTGAGTTTTATTTATTTATTTTTTTAATTTTTTTAATTTTTTGAAAAAAAAGTAATTAAATTTTTAATATCGAAATGTTTTTCTTAATTTTTTAGTATTTTTTACGAATTTTTATTATTTTTTATTATTTTATTAGGAATTAAAACATTTTAATAGCTATAAGGGTATAATTGTCCAAGGTACACATAATTAGTCCTATGCAAACATAGTTTATTTTTTGGTCCTATTTGTGAAAAGTGAATGACTTTTAGTCTTATTTTGATAATTATCTCTTTTTAAAAACATGAGGGTATTTTTGTACTTTTTTTAAGTTCAGGAGTATATATGCACTTTAACATATATTTCAATGGTATATTTGTTCCGAAAAATAAAACAAGAATATACTTTTTCTCACACTCATACTAGAGATGTATATTTGTACACTTGCCCTATATGTTATGGACTTATACATTGTGTGGGTACATGCGTGAGTGTCCTAGATAGATCCAGTAGACCAGTAGCCTTATCTTTCAAATGTTAATATTAGCCCATCTACCACGCGTGCACCTACTAGTAGACGATAAACCAATCAAAAATCTAAAACATCATAAATGTTGATACATTAAATTTTTATTGATCTTGTTGAAAAAAATTGATAGATTTTCTTTATAAAAAATTAATATCGTTAGAATCAAATAATATTAAAAAAAATTAATAAAAATTAAATTGAAAACCTTCATGAACATTTTGGAAATTATGTAGTTTTTATTCCGATAATTTTTTATTTTTAAAAACATATGATCATGATGCGAAAATAACTTTAAATATAAAGTTTGGATTACATATATTACATATGCAAGTTTGGGATAATTATCTCATTCCATATTACATACATATACCGTTCAATTTCCTGGTTTTGCCAGCCTCCGGTCATGATTCAAGTACAGAATTTGTTCTGGTTTCACCAGCCACTGGAAAGAAAGCAACCCGTAAAAAATATGCTCAAAAAAATTAATAGAAAAATTCCACCGAGAAAGTCCCCAAATGGCCTCGATCAGACGGCGGCTCCGGTCAGACCGGCCTGATATGATCTGTCATCCCTAAAATGTAAAAAAGAAAGAAAAATTTACCCCTAGTATGACTAGAACTCCTAGTCTTTCCCATTATATGACCTCAATATTTTTTTCCTGATTTATTTCACTAGTAACGGCACTCACACAACCTGCCCATATGGCTGATTTTTTTTATTTCGTCTATACCCTTCCATGCTTTGATGCGGTAGTATTTTGTATAATTAATACACTCCTAATTCTTCTCATCTTTATACCAAAACGGTTTTTATATTTAATTAACAACCAACTTCTCCATATGCAATTGTATCATTTTCATTCCCTCACGTTTTCAACCTTTTTTGCGTCGGTTTCTTACAATCTTTTTCAACTAACCATTTGCGTCTTCTTCACATGCTTTCTTTTTCTTCTCCAGAGCTCATCCGTTATTGCTAGAATGCATTGATTGCCAATGTATTACCGATACTTTATATAATGCACTGAATTTATGGAATGCCGACGAATTTTTTTTCATTTAGTGCAATCAAGTATTTCATTTACTGCAATGCAATGCTCTTATTGCCCATGCTATTGCATTACATAAACAACCAATAATACATGAATTACCCGTACACTTAATCTTCTTAAACACCGTGTTTATTACCGATTTAATCTTTAAAATGTAACAATAACTAATTTACGGCATGTATTTTATAAGTTAAATACCACACTATTTAGTGCACTATATCAGTGCAATATATCAATGCCATCATTGCAAAATCACTACACTCAAGAGGAAAAAGAACATTCTCATCGTTTCTTTGGACCTCTGCTTCCCATGGAGTATTTTCTCTTTTTATTTCCTCTATTAATTTTGGGGGCACGCGATTATAAGTGGTAGGTTAGGGTATTAATTTTGGTTAAATCATTTAATAATTTCACTCCTAATAATTTTTCTCCATCTTTATTTCTACATTTATGAGGGATTGTACTCTTTCCTATCCTAAAATCCATTGAATGAACGTATGTTTAAGGCTAATCTTGTCTTACAGTGTTCCTTGATTTTACGGATGTAGTTATATATTTTAATCCTATTAAAGTCACGTGTTGGGAAATAAACATACTAGATCATATTTTGGAAATTGTAATGAGTTTTACTCATATATATAGGTATTTAACCCAAAAAGAAATCCTATTAACACATTTTCAACCTTACACACTATGTGAGGTTTGGCAAACGGCCAACCAATTATTTGAACTTAGGGGACTTTGAATGTCAAATATAATCAATTGTCAAACACACTCAAAACAATTTCTTATAGTGGCTGATAAAAATTATTTTGAAGTGCAACAAGACAGGCGACGAGAGGTTGGTAG